GGCATCATAGCTCATGGCAACCTCCAGCTCTTGGGCTTAGGTGATTCTCTTGCCTCAGCCTCCTGAGTAGTTGGGACCACAGGTGCCTGTCACAACTAACAGGGCATACTAGTGCACACCTGTAGTCCTAGCTATTCCGCAGGCTGATGCAAGAGGATCACCTAAGCCCAGGAGTTTGGGGTTGGAGTAAGCTACAAAGATGCCCACCACTGCACTCTACCCAGGGCAACAAAGGGAGACTCGGTCTCAAAAAAAAAAGAAAAAAAGAAAAAAAAGAATGAAAGAAAGTCATTCAAAAAAAACTTCTGGCTCAGCGCCTGTGGCTCAAGTGGCTAAGGCGCCAGCCACATACACCTAAGGTGGTGCGTTCGAATCCCCAGCTGGGGCCCGCCAAACAACAATGATGGCTGCAACCAAAAAAATGGCCAGGTGTTGTGGCGGGCGCCGGTAGTCCCAGCTACTTGGGAGGCTGAGGCAGAAGACTCGCTTGAGGCCAGGAGTTGGAGGTTGCTGTGAGCTGTGATGCCATAGCACTCTACCCAGGGGGACAACTTGAGGCTCCGTCTCAACAAAAGAAAAAAACTTCTGTTAATATGCTGATCTCTACCTTTCCAGACCCATACTACAGCATAATAATTTCTCAAGACAATTTTTGGCAGAGTGATGGGTACCCTAATCATCTTTAAGGGACATCTAATTTCATTTCCTAATCAAAGTCCTTTGGGGCTGGGAAAGAGCCAGAACTGGACCAGTCTGAAGGTTCTCACAAGACAGTAAGGTGGCCTGTAGGAGACAACTGACCCTTAAACACAGATCAGATGGAGCTCACACATGGTGCAAAGTCATTCTCTTTTTCTTTTAGCAGTTACAAGGTGATGTTTGCCCAGCACCTTTCTCAGTTTTTAGGGCAGAGAAAGATGAGGAATAGTCAAGAAAACCATACCCTCATTTTTTCAACTTTTGAGTCTATCACCTATGATTTTATTATTGAGCTCAACAAATAGTATTCTGTGATCCAAGCAGAAATACAGGTGTTAATGAGTCAGCAAATACATACTGCCGGTTTGCTTTGGGCAACACTCTGCTCTGGCATCCAAGAGGAAGTGGGCAAAACAGCAACCTGAGCTGGAGATAGCTGTATAGTCCTGAAAATCTAAAAACATCTCAGTATGTCCAGAACTGGAATCTCCCTCATTCATCCACTCTGAAGCTGCTGCCTTTCTTACATCATAAATCATGAAATCAGCTTGGCACCTACAGCTCAGCAGTTAGGGCGCCAGCCACATATACTGGAACTGGTGGGTTCAAGTCCAGCCAAACAACGACAACTACAACCCCCCCCCCCCAAAAAAAATAGCTAGGCGTTGTGGCGGGCGCCTATAGTCCCAGGTACTTGGGAGGCTAAGGCAAGAGAATCACTTAAAGCCCAAGAGTTTGAGGTTGCTGTGAGCTGCAACACAGCACTCTACCGAGGGTGACAAAGTGATAAATGAATACATATAAAAAAACCCATAAAACCATCCGTTTTTGGAGACAGAGCCTCAAGCTGTCCCCCTGGGTAGAGTGCCATGGCATCACAGCAGCTCATAGCAACCTCCAACTCCTGGACTCAAGCGAGTCTCCTGCCTCAGCCTCCCAAGGAGGGAGCCTCCATATTTACTGAGGATTTACAAGGATTTGTAACAAATCTATTCTAGCATTCTCCTATTTCCTTTATTTTGATAAAGAGCTGTCTGGGGAAGAAATCTCTCAACCCAAAATGACCATATTTACTGAGTTCTGAGTATTTTTTTTTTTTTTTAAGAGAGACAGAGTCTTACTCTGTCATCCTCGGTAGAGTGCCGTGGCATCATAGCTCATGGCAACCTCCAGCTCTTGGGCTTAGGTGATTCTCTTGCCTCAGCCTCCTGAGTAGTTGGGACCACAGGTGCCTGTCACAATGGATGGCTATTTCTTTTTGTTGTTGCAGTTTGGCTGGGGCCGGGTTTGAACCCTCCACCCTTAGTATATCGTGCTGGCACTCTACTCACTGAGCAACAGGCGCCACCCAAGTTCTGAATATTTAATTAATTAATTAATTAATTTTTGAGACAGAGTCTTAAGCTGTTGCCCTGGGTAGAATGCTATGGGATCACAGGTCACAGCAACCTCCAAGCAATTCTCCTGCCTCTGCCTCCCAGGTAGCGGGGACTACAGGCTGCCTACCACAACGCCCAGCTATTGTTTGGTTGTAGCTGTCATTGTTGTTGGGCAGCCCCAGGCGGAATTTGAACCAGCCAGCTCAGGTGTATGTGGCTGGCGCCTTAGCCAAGCTTGAGCCACTGGTGCCCAGCCCCAAGTTCTGAATATTTAAATGAGGTTATCTGGTACAATCAGTTTTGAAAAAGGAGGCAAGTAATTTAACATTGATTTAGTAATTATTTCTGGAGGCATGACCTCATAATAACAATGATTAGATTATATGCAAGAAGCCATTTAAAGGTTGCTTTAAAAAGTAATGCACAGCCTCGGGGCCTGTGGCTCAAGGGGTTAAGGCGCCAGTCACATATACCTAAGGTGGCAGGTTCGAATCCGGCCCAGGCCACCAAACAACAATCATGGCTGCAACCAAAAAATAGCCAGGCATTGTGGTAGGCACCTGTGGTCCCAGCTATTTGGGAGGCTGAGGCAGGAGACTTGCTTGAGCCCAGGAGTTGGAGGTTGCTGTGAGCTGAGATGCCACGACACTCTACCCAGGGGGACAGCTTGAGGCTCTGTTCTAAAAAAAAAAAAAAAAAAAAAAAAATAATGCACAAAAAAAAAGAATAAATAAAGACTAATTCAATAAGTGGTTACACTGTGATCTTTTTTTTTCCTTTCCTTTTTGAGACAGAGCCTCAAGCTATCCCCCTGGGTAGAGTGCTGTGGCAGCACAGCTCACAGCAACCTCCAACTCCTGGGTTCAAGCGAGTCTCCTGCCTCTGCCTCCCAAGCAGCTGGGACCACAGGTGCCCGCCACAACGCTCGGCTATCCTTTGGTTGCAGCCGTCATTGTTGTTTGGCAGGCCCAGGCTGGACTCGAACCCGCCACCCTAGGTGTATGTGGCTGGCGCCCTAGCCGCCCGAGCTACAGGCGCCGAGCCTACACTGTGATCATTTAAGGTCAATGGATGCTTGTGGCTTGAGATAAAATTTCCAGAGACAGCACACGATACAGGTTCACAAAGTGTAGGATCACATACCATTTACAGGGAAGCAATGATGGTCCATTCTTGAAAAACTGTCAGATGATGCAAAGACTAAATGATGATGTAAACTGTGTGAAAGACAAACCTGAAAAGTCTAAAAAATATTTCATAGAAAATATGAAAGCCAAAGGTGATGCTTGTGGCTCAGTCGGCAGGGCGCTGGCCCCATATACCGAGGGTGGCGGGTTCAAACCTGGCCCTAGTCAAACTGCAACAACAACAACAAAAAAATAGCCAGGCATTGGGGCAGGTGCCTGTAGTCCCAGCTACTCAGGAGGCTGAGGCAAGCGAATCGCCTAAGCCCAGGACTTGGAGGTTGCTGTGAGCTGTGTGATGCCACGGCACTCTACCATGGGCGATAAAATGAAACTGTCTCCACACACACACACACAAAATATTAAAGTCAAAAGGAGTAGCATTTCCATGTAAACCTATTTTGTATGACTTTAAATATAAATGTAACCAAAATAGTAAATAATTCTAGATAGACCATTTGATCTATATTCCTGAAAGCATTTATATTCAAGTTGTCTACTTTTTTTTTTTTCAGACAGAGTCTCACTTTGTCACCCTCCGTAGAGTGCTGTGGTCATAGCTTACAGCAACCTCAAATTCTTGGGCTCAAGCAATCCTCTTGCCTTAGCCTCCAGAGTAGCTGAGATGATAGGCGCCTGCCAAAACACACCAAAATCTATTTTTAGAGATGAGGTCTCGCTCTGGCTCAGGCTGGTGTCTAACTCTTGAGCTCAGGTAGTTCACCCACCTTGGCTTCCCAGAGTGCTAGGATTACAGGCGTGAGCCACTGCACCTGGCCCAAACAAACTTTTTTGAGGAACTTTTCATGTTAGCTTACTTTCCAGCACTTACAGTAATCCTATGGATTAATAAGCAAATAAAACATGTAATTTCAGCTTGGCACCTGTAGCTCAGCGGCTAGGGTGCCAGCCACATATACTAGAGCTGGCAGGTTTGAACCCAGCCCGGGCCTGCCAAACAACAGTGACAACTACAACCAAAAAAACAGCTAGGTGTTCTGGCAGGCACCTGTAGTCCCAGCTACTTGGGAGGCTGAGGCAAGAGAATTGCTTAAGCCCAAGAGTTGGAGGTTGCTGTGAGCTGTGATGCCATGGCACTCTACCCAGGGCAACAGCTTAAGACTCTGTGTCAAAAAAACAAAAACATGTAATTTCATTATATTTGCATTTATGCCTGGCCCTGGAGGCATTAATCCCTCTATTTTTCGACCCAGCCTACCCAGAGAGAAACTTCCCCACTCACCTTCCCTCATCTTTTGGTCTAACTCATCCAGTGTTGGTTCAATCAACTCCCAGCCATCTGGAGGTGCTTTCCGGCTTCTTTTGACTTTAGGCATTTCGACCTCACACAAGATAATGTGCCAAGATCTGGGGACAAAAGGAAAAGGCAATTATGATAGAGTGTAAGGAAAGCTACGAGTAGCAGGGCCAAGAAGATAAGTGTTTTTAAAGACAGCTGTAAAATGAAAGTACCTTAGAATCTGCTTCCCAAGAGCATACGAGAAAGATCTCTGGTCTCTGCAGTTACAGGCTCAGATTCTTGACCAGCCCTAACAATTATCTTGTGACTTTGGGGAGTCACTTTTCCTCAGTCTCATCTGTAAAATGAGGGCAGTGGATTAGCTGATTGGTTGGCAAGGCCTCTTTTATTTTTTGAGACAGTCTTACTTACTCTGTTGTCCTGGGGTTGAGTGCCATGGCATCACCATAGCTCGCAGCAACCTCAAACTCTTAGCGTCAAGTGATCCTCATGCCTCAGCTTCCTGAGTAGCTGAGACTACAGGTGCCCACCACAACACCTGGCTACTTCTATTTTTAGTAGAGATAGGTCTCACTCCTGAGCTCAGCTTCCCAGAGTGGTAGGATTACTGGCATGGGCAGCCACCACACTGTGTGCAAGTTCTCTTATAGACCTAATGAGTATGTCAGAAGTCAAGTAAAGCATACAAAGAGCCAGGACAAATGTAAATAGGAAAGCATTTTTCAAACCACACAGTATTTCCTGGCTGGCAAAGAAAACTCAGGTTATCTCTAACCTTTATGCTTGGCAGATTGCTCCTTCCTAAATTCAGTGAGTCCCTCCCTTCCATAGGGTGTTCCATACTTTATAAGCCCTCCTCCTCACAATAAATAAATACACACACACAGAGGACCCTCCTATGATCTCTCTGTAACAACCATACAGATGAGGAATCAAACTTTTTCTTTTTTTTGGCCAGGGCTGGGTTTGAACTTGCCACCTCCGGCATATGGGGCCGGCGCTCTACCCTTTTGAGCCACAGGCGCCGCCCGGAAGAATCACACTTTTAACAGGTACAGTCAGGGTCGCAAAGTTGGGAATTTGCAAAATCTGATTCTGACTGGAGGTCTCCTAACTTCCTGTATTACTAGTCTTTGCACTACTCTTCCCCTGCACTGTAATCCAATCAGATTCCAGTCCCTGACCCAGGGCGCACAGCGCACAAGAGAATGATTACTTTCCAACGACCTGGGGAAATTCAAGAACTCTAGCCCAGCCAGAAATTCAGAAGCGGCCTTCACAGATAAGCAAATCAAGAGGTGTCGGGAGGTTTAAGAGGCAGAGGCATTCAAGAAAGGCAAAGAGGAAGAAAGATATCGCGGCAGTACTGTAAGAAATACTCATAAACAGATCAACATCTGAAATGGGGTTAGAAAAACAAGCAGTATTTCGACAGAAGATGTTCCCGGCAGAGAAAACGGTGTATGAAATAGGCTAAAGCAAGAAAGCCCCCTAAACCTACCATCCCCTCGGCAGAAGGAACAAGGAACCTCGGAAGTTCATTTCGGCCTTTCGAACCAAAGGTCTGGACCCATCCCAGTCCAGCTGCTCAGATGGCCTTCGGGATTAGTGCAGACTACCGGTCCCAGTCCCCCACCGTTGCCAAGGTAATCAAGAACAGAGGGAAAAAACCTACCGGAAGCCCCAACTCCTTTGGCCGCCACTTCTCTACTGACGACTTCCGCTCTAGAGGAGAGTTCTACGGAATGGGGTCCTAAAGAGGCCCCGCCCAGCCCGCGCAGAGATTGCGTCATCTTATGTGCCCTCAGCGCTGCCTGTATAGAATTCTAGAGCCGCTGTTGCCCTTTGCCCTCACTTCCCCGAGGGTAGCCGGCTAGGCCACGCGTCTCGCCGGACGCGGAGGCTGGGGACGCTGTTGCCCGGCAGCGTGAGGGCGAGCCTGGATTCAGGCGGCGCGTAGGGCAGCCCTGCTTCGTGCGCCGCACTCTCTGAGGTTTTGGACCTTGCGGTGGGGGGGCGGCGGCGGCGGCGGCGGCGCCGGGCGGCCGGGACTAGACCGGGCGGAAGAAGTCGTGCCCAAGGTATTTCCGGTTCCGGTGTCACTTCGAGGCGCCGCCGCCGCAGCTGCCGGAGCCGCGATGCCTAAAGGAGGTGAGGGGCGGGTGCGCGTGGCCCGTGGGCCTCGAGGGCAGGCCCAGGTCCGGCTCCCGCTGTTCCCTCAGTCCCTGGGCGTCTCAGAAAGTAGTGTCGAGGAAAGCCTTCCGCAGCAGCTGAGGGCCAAGCCTGGGCCTCGAAGCCCGATTGTCGCGATGGGGAGAATGAGGACCACGGTGGCCTAGAGCGACTCCCTCGGTGGGCTGAGGCGTTTCGGAGGCTCTGGATCCTCGCCAGCGCGGAGGTCCGGATCAGGGGCGCCCTTCTCCAGGCCTGAGGGGTCTGGAGTTTATCCCACTTCTAGGCTGGTTGGGGATTGAGTCACCGCGTCCCGCGCTTGTGGCGGGGCCGCCTGCCTCGCGTAAAACGTGGGCCCTCTCCGCCTCCGACTCAGGCGGACCTGCCAAATAACACTTAAGATGATGCTCGTGAACCTTGTAGACCTGGCTTTGACTCTTATTCAGTAGCGGCTCAGTGTGTGCCTTAGATCAGTCGCTTGACCTGCTTGTACCTCAGTTTTCCTGTCTGTAAAAGGGACTAATGATGGTACTTACTTGATAGTATTGATGCGTGGTCTAAACTAGGTAATCCACGTGGAGTGCAGAATACAGTGTCCAGCAAACATTAACTATTTGTAAGACTTTGCTAGCTCTTAGTCACGAAGGTCCAAGGCTTTCCAGTACATTATTGTATATTCTCTATCCTTTTACCTCCTTTAAAGTCAGTAGTCCTCAGTTTGAATCCCAGCTATGTCACTCTAATTCTGTGGCCTTGCACAAGTTATTTAATCTCCTCTGGCCTATTTTCCTCATCTGAAACACCAGGCAAATAATTCTTAGCTGGTGAGTTGGGGATAGGGGTGGTAAAATGATAGAGCACGCGAAGTGCCTGGCTAGCTTCTGGCACAGAACAGATTCAGTCAATATTGGTAGCTCTTTGTATTATGTGGTTAATGCACTCAGCCCACAGGAACATCTGCCTGGAGCTTTTTCAAACCTAAATCACTTCCTGACTCCAGAGATGTTGGGCTTTACAGAGCTAAATCTGTTTAAACCTGCCTCACTACTGATCTATTCTGTGTCCGGAATAGCCATGTCTCCTCTATTGTTCCCTAGTCTTTTCTTCTGGAAAAGGGGGTTGTTGAATGAATCATCCTGTCTCCATACTCTTATTTAATGGATACTTTGGGTCAAGGTTAGAGGTTACAATTAGAAAACCTTAAATATGAATTTATGGTCTTTTGGCTTGTGAAAAACTTTGTGCGCACACCGGGGTAGGTTTTCTTTAGGATTAATTTGTTTGAAAAGCACCAGGAAATTAAATTAAAATTCCCCAAGAGCAAAGACCAACTCTTGTTTTCATGATGTTAACTGTGAAGTATTTTTAAAATCTTGAAGAGTGTATTTATTATAAAAGATACTGTAGACCAAGCTAAGGTCAGTATCCCATAGCCAAGTATTTGAGGTGAGAGCTGGTGGTAATTGGCTTTGAATTGTTACTATTGCCTTAGAATAATAAGTGAGCAAGAAAGGGTGTTGTTTTAATAGCAACCTTGATCTCTTACAATAGGACTTTCATGAGTCTAGCCTTAGCCACTCCTGGGAACCTGGGTAGTCATTAAGATGTTGGTGTGGTCTGTAGCAGCCCAATTACTCAGCTGCTGCTTGTTAAACTAGGCGAGGCCAGAATCTCTGTTACTGTCTCTGGAGTCTGGGGCAGCTTGGGCTAATTACAGTCTGCTCACAGTGAGGGGCTCTCTGGAAATCCAGTGGGCCTTATCTTTCAGGAGTGGGAATGAAGCTACAGCCAGCCTTGTGCATAGTCCAGAATTAAGAGAGGGGAATGCCCCTGGCTCAAGAGGGTCAGACTATAGAACGGATATTTTTAGATGAACTTAAATTGCTAGTCACATTTTTAATTCTTAGACTGTAGTGAGATTTGTTCTCAACTTTTTTTATATTCATAATGTATACTTTTTTTTTTTTTTTGAGACAGAGCCTCAAGCTGTCCCCCTGGGCAGAGTGCTGTGGCATTACAGCTCACAGCAACCTCCAACTCCTGGGCTCAAGCGAGTCTCCTGCCTCAGCCTCCCAAGTAGCTGGGACCACAGGCGCCCGCCACAACGCCCGGCTATTTTTTGGTTGCAGCCGTCATTGTTGATTGGCAGGTCCGGGCTGGGGATTCGAACCCGCCACCTTAGGTGTACGTGGCTGGCGCCTTAGCCGGTTGAGCTATAGGCGCTGAGCCCATAATGTATACTTTTAAAAATCAATTTTTATTAAGTCATAACTATATGTTTGTGGGGTACAATGTGATGATTTGATATACAATGTGCAATGCTTAAACTAATTAACATAACCTTCACCTCATTTTGTGGTACGATGTTTATAACATACTCTTAATTGTTTTGAAATGTACCCTTGCATTGTGTACATTAGATGAGATCCCACCAATCCCCCTGTATTTGGTGTGTTCTCAACTAACTTTACCAGTCATTTCTTAACTTCAAGCACAAAAGTTGTGCCTATAGGTTTTTTTCCTTAAGTATTTTCTTTCTACCATACCACTAAGATGAACATGAAGTATTTTATTGTATTTCTGATACCTGCAGTAAATTATATGGCCAGTAGTGTTTTGTTGTTGTTGTTGTTTTCCCACCAAATATTACACTAGAGAGAAAAGTAAAATCTTAACAAACATTTTTGTGCTGCTTATCCAGTGCCAGGCACTGTTCCTACATTAGCTTTATGTACATTAGCTTTATGTACATTAGCTAACCTGTCTTCATGACAGCACTATGAGATAGAGACACAGATGAGGAAACTGAGACTCTGACATATTAAATACCTGCCCAGAGTCACAAAGCTAGTAAGCATAGTGCTGAGATTTGAATCCAGGGATTTGTGCTTTTCTTTATTGTGCTTTGCTCTTGAGTCGCCTTCTCTACACAATAGGACCAATAATAACTTGCACCCTAGGTTCATTCTGAGGATCAAATGAGCGTGTGGCTATGATAGAACATTACAAGTAAAAAGCCCTATCACAATAGCAGGGGTGTAAGTGCTACATGTTTTTGCAGTTGCATCTGAGTTCACTCTGCTTGGATTCTAAGGGACCAGGGGATTTAGCTAGTCAGTCTGTGGTTCTTATTATCTCAGTTCTTATTTGTGAGAACCTGCACCCAGCATGTGTTTTGGTGGTGCAGCAGGTAGACACAGATTGTTTCTTGTGTCCCTTTGAACTCATGGGGGGTAAGTTTGGGTGGTATTTGGTGAGGGATCGGAGAGGTCTCTGTGCCCTCTGATGAGAGCATCCCAAGCAGGACACGATCCTCTGGAGGTCGGGGCAGCTGAGGCAGCTGCTTCCTTCTCTTCCTAAACTGCAATCTTTATTCAGGGAGAAAGGGAGGCCACAAGGGCCGGGCAAGGCAGTACACAAGCCCTGAGGAGATTGACGCACAGCTCCAGGCTGAAAAGCAAAAAGCCAGGGTGAGTATATGCCTGTCCAGGCCATTCTAGTGGCCCTGGGTGGGTTCCTGTCCCTTTGGCTCACTGAGAGGCCAGGCAGACTACCTAGTCACAGGGACAAGCCAAGCATATAGGTGTGCAGAGAGCAGTGAGTTCCAGATCAACCAATGACTGTCAGAATGAGGGGGTACCTCTGACTGGCTCAGTTGGAAGGAACTATGTTCGTTTAACAGTGGTGGCTTTAGTGGGTCTGTGTTCTTGGTCCTGTGTGCTTGCCTTCCAGAGGCTTTCCTTCCACCATTCTCTGTCCATTTGCTGCTCAAGCTCCCAGGACCCCCCACTTGTCTGCTGCAGCCATTTAGGACTGCTTACTGGACTCTACACATGTGTGTACTGCCTTCCTACACCCCCAGCAGCAAAATGCCAGCCATTCCTTGAGACCTTGTTTAGCCTCCCCTCCTGTGACTCATGGTAGTGCACCCCCTCCTCACCCTCTCCAGTCAAAGCCGACTTAGTAGTTCCCTCTCCTCTATTCTTGTGGCACTCTGTCCAGGCTACTGTTAGGAAGTAGATAATGTCTCCATCATTGTTGGTGTCTGCCTTCCCTACAACCTCAGATCTGTGCCTGAATTAAGGGCCCAAGAGAACACAGAGCCAGATGAGTGCACAGCTGTCAGTACCCCAGGAACCCTGAGAAGGGAGAAGCCCCCTAGCTGGGGGGGTCTGCAAGGGCCTCATAGAGGAGCTGGCAGTCAAGTAGAATCTTGGAGAATGTGTAGACAAGTGCTAAGAGGGGAAGGAAGGATTTAAGTTTTTTATAAAGGAAGTTTTTGATGGAGAGGTAAGAAAGATGGAGGGAAGTAGCCTGCTGAACTGCTGTCTTGGAAAGCTAGTGCAGCAGGACATGTGTGGGTGGGTCAGGTTGGCTGGTCTGCTGTGGAATGCAGGAGTACTTGGCTGGGAATGCTAGTATGATTTGGCAGCTGAAGATGACAGGTGGGGGAACTGAACGGGACTGATTTTCAACCCCATGATTAGCTTCTCATGTAGGCTGCCTGAGTTCACTGGGCTAGGAAGGGGGAGTAGGTCTTTTTTTTTGGCGGTATGAGGCTAGATGGTGGGAATAGCCTCCAGGCCATGATACTGAGTGGATAGGCTCCCCATCTCTAACCCAGGTCACCCATCCTGGGGCTAGGATCACAGAGACTAGGACCTTTGTCATTCTTGCCACAGCCTTGATTTCCCCAGGTCCACTGTCTGAGGGTGGTGGGGGGTCACAGTCTTGGGGGTTTGTTTTGCATTTTTGATTCTGCAGGTTGTCCATTTCTGAAACAGGAAGAAGAGGAACAAGGAGAAGAAGGTGGAGATGGGGCTGCAGGAGACCCCAAAAAGGAGAAGAAATCTCTAGACTCAGATGAGAGTGAGGATGAAGAAGATGACTATCAGGTACTGTGTCTGCTGGGGACCCAGGGCCTGGACGTATTCATTCAGCAAACATTTATTGAGTGCCTGCTTATTACCAGTCCCAGTGATGGATACAAAGTCCTTGCTATTAAGGGTTTCATTCCAATGGGGAGATAGAGTCAATAAGGAGTGAAATGAACAGTATAATTTCAGGTAGTGATGATTGTTATGAATAGAATAGACTTGTGCTTGAGGGGACTTGAAGTCATATTGTGGTGATAAGGTGACTTACAAGCTGAGGGTGGAAAAACAAGATGCAGCCAGCAATGTGACACTGGCATGCAGAGCTGATGAGGCAATCAATAAATTAGCAAGAGCAAAAGCCCTGGGGTGGGAACAAACTCAGCATGTTCAAGGAACAGAAAGGGGCCAGTGGGCTATGACTTAGAGGGTGAGGAGTAGAGTGGTTTGGGATGGAGGGGGAAAGGTTGGCAAGGGCTACTTCCACATGGCTGTGGAAGGGGCTGGGGCTTCATTATGATGGGCAGTGGCCAGCTGGTGGAAGTTTTGCAAAGGGAAAGAGATGACCAGATTTGCTTTTAAAAGATTATTTTGGCTTCTCTGTGAAAGTGAATTGTGGAATGTTAAGGGTAGAAGCGGGGAAGTGGCAACAGGTTTCCAGATCAGAAATTGTGACCTTGCCCGGCTGGCAGTCTTATCCTAGCATGGTGTCAGTGGCAATGGAGAAGAGTGAACAGATTCAAGCCATATTCCTCAAATCCTTGAGGAATCAAGGGTTTGCTTAGGATTAAAAGGAAGATGAGGGGTAAATCTCAATTTCTATCTTAGATACACTAAGTTTGCAGGTGTCAGAGTGGAGACATAAACATGTATAGGCCTGGGGAGTGGAAGCTGTCTCCCTGGTCACTTAAGAAAAATAGCTGGAACCTTGACTAGACCTGTTACATAGAGAACTTGTGTTCTCCTTTCATCCTGAACTTTCCCAGGGGAGGTGGAAGGTACAGGCCCCAGATTCATGGGCTTGTTCCTAAAACCTATAGACTCTAGTGATCCAGTGGCTTACTCAAATGTTAAACTTCTAGTTTGTCATCTGAGATAAGTAGGAATTGGACTTGGTCACAAGAACACACATTCTTGGGCAACTGTAACCCAGGGAATCTAGTACGTACCTGTTGTATGGGAAAAAAAATCAGGCACAGAATTCCATGGAAAACTGCTTTTGGATGCTGAGCTTGAAGTGGGAGAGAGTATTCTGTCTGAGTGCCTATGAGTTGGCCTACAGCTCATGCTCTCTATTTCTTGGTTGACTTTGGGCACGTTATTTAACCCTAAAGCAATCATTCTGTATATAGTCTCTGATTCTGGGATAATAATCCTCAGTTGCTGAGGCTTGGCATGGCTTAGGCTCTTAATGCACACACTCATTTTCCTTGCCCCACCCGGGCTGGTGAAGATAGTCCTGAGAACTGTCTCCCACTATGAGATGGGCCAAGTACCATGTGGGCTGAGGGTAGAACAGGAGTTTGTCCCCATCTGGATGGGCTGTTGGGAGATGGAGGGAGTGGTTTTCAGGGGCTCTGTAGGGCCTGAATGTCTCCAACAGCCAGCTTCTTGCCCTGTTCCAGCAAAAGCGCAAAGGTGTGGAAGGGCTCATCGACATTGAGAACCCCAACCGGGTGGCACAGACAACCAAAAAGGTCACACAACTGGATCTGGATGGGCCAAAGGAGCTTTCAAGGAGGGAACGGTAATGTCACTGGCTGGGCTGTGTAACCTGGGTGCACAAGCTGGGGTGCCCAGCTCTCAACCCTGGCTGGGTGGGGTTACCAGCTATGTTTATTCCTGTTTCATCTCATTCCCCAGAGACTATAGTACCTTTTAAAAAGAACACAATAGAATTTGTTTTCACTAGTAGATGTACATCAAGGAAAATAAAACAGCAGATTCAGACCTGAGCATTGCACTTAAAGTAATGGCCCAGGGATACAGAGAGTTGCCTTTCATTCCCTTCTTCCAGAGCACCACACCCTGAGGAGACTGCCCTTATCCAGCCCACTCTGACCATTCCTGACCTGTACCACCTGTAGTTTTATTGCCATGGAGATTGGGAAGGGACTGGGAGCTTGTGCTAGCCGGAAAGCAGTCCAGCTTGGGGCAGACAGGGTCTCTGGAGGTCACCTGCCTGCCCCAGGCCTCTCTGGAGTCCCATGTGAACAGGGAACTGCGAATGTCTTCCTTGAGTTGAGGATCAAAATCAAGTACTGAAGTCCTTAACCAGCCATGACTTCCAGTGACCACAAGGCCACTCAAGGGCCTTAGAAGAGGTCAAAGCCTGCTGGGGAAAGCAGCCCTGGTTTCTCTTGGGCCGGAATGCTGAGATTTCAGTTTTCTCTTCCTGTTCTGATACATGGTAGCTGAGGGGTGTGTATATGAAAGTGTCACAGGGAAGGTCTGTCAGCTTGGGGTGTGATTACAGGTTGCTAAGGACTCTCCTCTACTCCTTCAGTAGCTTCCTTCTCAGACTGACTTCCCAGAAATGCAGCAGCCTGCTGCAAGGGCTCTGGTACCCACTCACATTCTGCTACTTTGCAGCTATGCAGCCCTGGACTAATTATTAATGCCCTTTCTGGGCTGCAGTATCCTTACCAGTGAAAGGACAATTCTGTTGTTACCCCTGCCCTGTAGAGCTGCTGTGATGATAACCATGAAGGCCAGCACCCTGCCTAGCCCTTCACTGGGGGTCCCACAGAGCTGCTCATCATTTCCAAGGGCAAGCTTCGAGGTTTCTGAGTGTGGCACGTCCCTCCTGTGTTATCTCTTTATCTCAATAGCAGGTGTCTTGTCCAGAGTCTCCTGGGTGAGAAGCTCATCCTGCTCCCAGTGACTGAGTTTCTCTCTCTCCCCTCCAGCTAGGTCCCCATGCCTAGTATCTCATTACTCTTAGGTCTGTGCATTTCTGAAGGCCTCTGACCTCCTTCCAGGCAGGGCTCTCCCCTCTTCCAGCACTTAGGAACCCAGCACAAAAGAGATCCTTCAACTTCACACTCTGGATGGTATCCACTCCAGAATATCAGAAGTGGTTGATCTCTTGAGAAGATCTGCAAAGGGAAAACTAGTAATTTTCGCTACCCTCTTGACCTAGCTGGTTGATTAATAACACCTCTGTCCCATGGAGTCCAGCTTTTACTACCACACCCCTATTGTTGGGGGTTCACCCCCTTGGGAGGCAGCCTCTTACATGTCTGAGCTGCTCTGTGAATGATGACCTGAGAGATGATGTGTCTATTTTCCATCATTGCCCTCATTCCATGTGTGCCCTGTGGCTACTTCTTCCACTTCATTCCTTATGGGATGTAGGTTGCAGTTCTTTCCTCCTCCTGGTCAACTTCTGGAAACCTCTAGTTCACTTGATCTTCTCACTGTGGTCACCAGACCCTAGTCATGAAGCCCTCAAGCATCCTCCCACCCTCCCCCAGACAATTAATTGTCCACTCTCCTGGTAAGGCTTCCTCATGGGCATAGGTGTTTTCCATCTCAGCCCATTCCTTCTGCTTGCTTGTTTGGTGAGTGTCCATCAAGCAGGGGCACAAAGAGCCAGGACCCCTCCCTCAGCCACAGCACCCTCTTGCACCTTGGCTCTAGGCCCAAGTACTTGGCCTTTATTCTCACCCTCACGTCCAGCTTGGCTAACTGTGGGGAAAGATGCCCCCTGTGACATCTTTTTATCTAAACAGAGAAGAAATTGAGAAGCAGAAAGCAAAAGAACGTTACATGAAGATGCATTTAGCTGGGAAGACAGAGCAAGCCAAGGCTGACCTTGCCCGGCTGGCAATCATCCGGAAACAGCGGGAGGAAGCTGCCAGGAAGAAAGAAGAGGAAAGGAAAGGTAAGTCCTGGACTATTGATGCAGGGCAGCTGCCTGACTGGTTCTGGGCAAGACCCCCTACGCCATCTGAACTTGTGTTCTTGTCTGTGAGGTAGGGTCAGGAGTGATAGATGACTCAGTAGCGGCCCTATCCCACCTGTACCCTCTCATGGGATGGCACATTGGTGTCATGGAGTCAGATACGGGTTGGAATCTTATCAGAGCACTGTCCACAGTAGAACAGCTATTGTCTGCTAACAGTGGGAGGCCTCTGGAAGCCATGCCTCTTAATATAGACCTTTAAGGCCAGAAGGTACCCCTGAGGTCTTTGGTGCCTTGGGAAGCCAGGAGAGCTGTGTGGGGTCACCCTTTTCCATCTGAGGGGCTTTGGGGCAGCAGTGGTGGTGGTGGATACATAACAGTGCAAACCTGGATGAAATGTGGCCCAAGCATCCCTCTTCCCTGTGCCCTCTCTCAGGCAGACCAAAGATTCTAGGGGATTTCTCTAGGCTCAGGTGGCTATGGGGAGTTGGTCCAGCTTATAGGAGCATTTGACTGCTATAAACTTCTCAGGGGTCTGTGAGAGCCCTTAAAAATTTTGCTGTCCTGCCTTACTGAGTCAAGAGGAAACTGGGGCCTAGAAAGGGGAAATAAAATTGTTCAGGGCACTATCATCCCCACTGGTAATCTAGTTATCCCAACTCCCTGTTCATCTCTGCTTCACAGAACCCAAGCAGGAGAGGACTTCATGTGATTGTTGATTTTAGATTTAGGGAATTACAGGATTTTACTGAGAAGGTAGGGTGAGAAGAAGTTTCTATCTGTTTACTAGACTGCATGTTGGTGGGCCTGTGTGGAGGGGCCAGCCACTGGAATATGCCAGGAACATCTGGGTACCTGACATCTGTCAGCCTTAGCAGAAATCCTCTTCTGCAAGAATTGTCAGTCTCAGCCCTTGTCCTTGGGTCTCTTCCTTGTGTGCCTTCTCAGCAAGTTGCACAAAGTGTTTTCTGAAGATCTAAAGTTTCTATTCAGGTGGGGGTGGGGGTTTTACTTGGTTCTAACTCCTACCCAAGTTGCACAAAGTGTTTTCTGAAGATCTAAAGTTTCTATTCGGGTGGGGGTGGGGGTTTTACTTGGTTCTAACTCCTACCCTTCCCTTCCAACCTGTCAGCAAAAGATGATGCCACACTGTCAGGAAAACGAATGCAGTCGCTCTCCCTGAATAAATAAGCGTGACCTGTGGGAAGAGATGCCAGGAAATGGGCGGCGCCACCAGGACCTCTGCTGTGTCTCACTCACCCTGTGCCCTGGTGCCGCTGCAGCAGCCCCTCATGGCCAGGAGCCCCCGCAGCCTGAGGTCTCCTCTTCATCTTGGCACAGAAATTGGAGGGATGTGGGGGGGCTGGGGGAGGGGCAGCTGCTATCTTTGAGACAGAAAGATGCAGGACAGCATTTCGTATGTAACCATTTGAATGTTTTCGCTGTTTTAGAATTCAGAACCCTTGTTGGGTGCCTGGGAGGTGGGGTAAGAAGAGCTTCCATTTGTCTGGTAGATTGCACGTTAGTGGGTGGTTGTGCCGGGAGGTAGCTGCTGACAAGTTGTGACAACCAGGCCATTTATGTGGCCTGGGTGCTCCTTCAGAGAGGGGCTGTCATGTGGGAGTCTACACCCTGGGTCCCTGAGGGTAAAGGCTTGTCCCTGGCCTGTCCCTTGTGTCTGAGACTGCTTCTCCCTGCCCTTCCCCATCCTATTCCCACCTCCCTGGCCAGGGCATGGGCCCATTTTTAACTGTACCCATCGATCATTTCAAGAACCTCTGGTGACTGTGCAGCACCCAGGCAAAACATGCTCCACAAATTCAACTTGTATATTTGGCAGATTAAACTTGACATTATCGTAATCTTTGGTTTGTAATCCATCCTTTGGCTTCTGTGCCTGAGCTGTTTTTACCCAGCAAGTCATGGATGGTGGCACTCAGGTCCACCTGGGAAGGTTCAGGGCATGCCACCAGCTGGGCGGGATATCTGTCTGGTAGCACCAAGCAGGGTGCTGAGACCCCAGGATTAGAGCTGGGAGAAATGCCAGAGCAGTCATGGACCACTCCAGTCTTCAGCAGGCTGAAGCAGCACCAGGTGTCCCCCAGGGGTAACAGCCTCAGGAGCAATACCCTACTAACCGCCTCAGATTTTTTTTTTTTTTTTTGAGGCAAGTGTCTCACTGTCTTCCTGGGTAGAGTGCCGTGGCATCACAGCTCATAGCAACCTCAAATTCTTGGGCTAGTGATTCTGTTGCCTCAGCCTCCTGAGTAGCTGAGACTACAGGCACCCAGCACAACACCCTACTTTTTGGTTGTTGTCATCATTGTTTAGCAGGCCCAGGCTGAGCTTGAACCCGCCAGCTTGTGTATGTGGCTGGCACCCTACACACTAAGCTACGGGCACCAAGGCAGCTGCCAGATTTTAATTACCTCTTAATCCTCACCTCCCTGTATGGTGGGGACTGGCAGCAGGGAAACTGAGGTTTAATACCATCAAGTGAGCTGCCTGTAATCAGGCCCAGCAAACCGTCATCCATAGCACCTGTCCTGTCCCTGTACCCCTCTGTGGGGGAACATCAACTGTGAATAGCAGCATATTTTGTCCAGAGGTCAGTGGGTCTGACGACACGATTGGGTGTTGGTTGGGGTCGAGGGGTTAATGCTGTGGTTTGCCCAAGATTTGGCAAAATGATTTAGTGGCAGAGGTGGAATCAAACCTCTTGAGTCCCAGCAACCTCTAACAAACATACCTGGGCTTGACTAAGTTGGAGTCTACAGTCTTAGCAGGGATACCACAGCTGCCAGCATCTGCCTCACCCTGAACTCCCCCACAAGCCCTGGCCTGCCCAGGAAGAAGACCCCTGAGGAACAGGAATTACAGCAAAGATTTTGCCAGAGCACCTTCCCCTCCCCCTACCCCCTGAAGCCATGCAGCAGCTGCGAGTTCAAGTCTGGGACTACAAATGAGGTTTCTGATGGAAGAGGATTCAAGAAAGTAGTAACTGGCAAGATTCATGGTGCCCTGTCGCCAGTTCTGAGAGTAGTGATGAAGGAGGTGTCTTGTGACATGTGCTAGACAGAGGTCTGTGGTTGAAGTGAAGAGGCCATATTTGGCAGAGTTCCCTCTGCATGCCCAGAACAGTCCTTCTCTTGTTCCCCCTTGGGAATAAGCCAGAGGCAGGACTGCCTTTGGCATCTGTCAGCCTTGGAGTGTAGGTTTGCAGGTCTCACCTGATACGTGGAAGATATGCAGGTGAGAGTTTCTCCTGCCTAGAAGTGTTCCCCTTGTGGCTTGGGAGAAGCCCTTTGAGCTGATACCCTGGCACGGGGGGTTCAGAAGTCAGGCATGAGTTTGTAAATCCTGCACTGCCACTTCCTGTCTATGGGATTTTTTGTTCACTTTTCCTCTTTAAAACGTGTAGCAAGGCTTCCTTCTGAAGTGGGCACATGGTGGCCCATGTCTACTAGGACTCTTCCATCTGTGTCTTCTACCACTTACCTGTCACCCTAGCCAGCATCCTGTGGATCCCCAGGGCCTGTGCAGTATCCACCTTTTTGCCCCATCTCTCACCTGCCATCCTCCTCATGGGCCTATAATCTGGCTTCTAGAATACAGAACCAGCCATTTCTCTCTCTAGCTCCTGACTTTCCTTGATTCCAAAAGCTACTGGGAGCTAAGTCCCTTGGGCCTTGCCTGCCTCACCTCCCATCTCAACCATGTCCTGTTCTCTACATCAGTCCCTCAGCTCCTTGAAGTTGCTGCATATGCGTCCTTAGGAGGCCTCAGTCCCCAACCCTTCTTTTCATGGCCTCCCTTGGACACTGGGTTGTCATCATCTGCTTCCAGACTGTCTTTTTTTAAATTCATTACCTAGGTCAGTGGTTCTCAACCTTCCTAATGCTGCAAACCTTTAATACAGTTCCTGTGGGTCACAACAGGAACTATATTAAGACAGAGAACCGGCTCGGCGCCTGTGGCTCAAGCGGCTAAAGCGCCAGCCACATACACCTAAGGTGGCGGGTTCAAATGCAGCCCGGACCCGCCAAACAACAATAATGGCTGCAACCAAAAAATAGCTGGGCGTTGTGGCGGGCATCTGTGGTCCCAGCTACTTGGGAGGCTGAGGCAGGAGACTCGCTTGAGCCCAGGAGTTGGAGGTTGCTGTGAGCAGTGAAGTCATGGCACTCTACCCAGGGGGACAGCTTGAGGCTCTGTCTCAAAAAAAGAAAAAAAAAGGAACCGCTGACCTAGATAGATTAGGAAAAAAAAACATGATTACATAAATAGGTAACCAAAAGCATGTGATTAAAACAAAAATGCCTTCTGAGGAATAGGAAGAAATCTTCCTAGAAAATGATGAACACTGACCAAAAATTAATGGCCAACATCCTAATGGTGAAATAATTCCCATTAAGGCCCAGATGTGTAGCCTGTTTGTCAAGGAATCTGCTAAATGAGTGACAGCTGGTCCTGGCAGCCTTGAGCTTGGTGGGCTGGGCTAGACAGCAGGAGGGAAGGAATCATTTGGGGTAAGACTTGGGCTTCAGGATTGCGTATGTTGGTAAGCAGCAAAGGTAATCTCTTACACTCATGCAGAAACCAGCCTCTCCTTCCAAACAGGCAAGCGTGTCCACCACTGCATTTTTATTACCTCCATGTTTTGAAGCAATTCATGACCAGCATAGTGCTCTGAGGATATTTTTTATAACAAATGAAAGCATTTAAGAAAAAGGCACATGTTCCTTGACTAGGTAAGATTATCTGCAAAGCCCCTGCTTGAGGCCTGTCTCCTTCCCTTTTGAGAAGCAGCCCCTATAGTGACCCATACTAGTACCCTAGAAACATTCAGCAAAGCGACCCTAATCTCCCTGATCCCCTCTCCCCATTTCCCCAGCAGCTGGGATGAAGGCAACATACTCCTCATGGGTCATTTGATCTTGAGGTCTTTCAAGGCTGACTCCAAGCTCTGCAAGGAGGCAGAATGGACAGCTCATTCTCAGCTGTCCTGTGGACACACCACCCCCAGAGACCTTATTTACACCCAGTACAGAAAAGGACAGAGAACCTAATCTTTGGAGTCTGGCAAACCGGGGTTTGAATCCTAGTGCTGAAGCAGGGTGCCCCAGAGGGCAGCAAAGCCCAGATGTCAAGGGTCTGCCCCCACCCCTCATCCCTTTGAGGTGCTCTTCTCTACAGAGGACAGGGGAAGAAAGGTTGACTTTGGGGGCACAGCTAGAAGCTGGGGGTGGGGCAAGCCTCACCTTCACATCCCAGATGCTCATACCGCCATCCATGCCGGTGGTGCAGAATTGTGAGCACTTGGCCTTGCCCCCACTGAGCACCGAGATCTGGCTGCAAAGAGGATGTGCAGGTAGTGGGCCTAGGTTGACCATACCTGCTGGGAGCTCCCAAATTTCAGGGAAGCGAGCTCCAGGTAGGTGTAACCAGCCAGGAACTGCCTGGGGGGGAGGTTTAGAAGCCTGCTTTGGTGACAAGCAGTGGTATGTGAGGTGCAAGGGGCATCCTAGGCCAATGGGACAGGCTATTCAAAGACCTGGGCAGGTGTGTGAATGCCACTTGTGTCTGGGAGAGGTAAGCTGAGTGCAAGTAGTGTGGGTGGAAAGAGGGATAGAAAAACAGCAAGGGATTGGGCTGGGGGGTTGCAGGGGCTAGCTGATGGCTAGGCAAAGGTATTTCTTCTGAAGCCATTGGATCTGACATTCATAGCAGGTTTAACTGGCTGAGGGACTCGGTCAGAAAGCCGAGCCATTCTGCTACTCCTTTGACTTGCCCCACATCTCCGGAATGAAAAGCTGCGACTGGTAGCTTTGGGGTTTTAGAGGGACCCTCCTCTCTCCTACCCTAGATCTTTGGAAGACATGTTCCATCTCATCCTCCTAGGCTTCACCCACACTTGACACTACTAAGTTGGAGACCGAATCCCCTCATCACCTAGTGCAGTTTTAGGGCCTTGGCCCCATCCCCTCCTCTGTGCAGCTCTCACCAGGAGTGATCCTGTAAGTTGAGGCCCGCCCATCCACACCTGGGCCTTGCCCTCACCTGACGCTGTTTTTGTGCAGTGAGTCGAGGCCAGCGCCTGAGGATGCGCCACCCTCCGAGCTCGCCTTCTTGTCTAGGTTCTGGAAGCGTTCACGGGCTGTCAAGCCCCGCTGCGAGCTCTGCTTGGGCACGTCCAGCCGCCCGCCGAAGCTCAGCGTCCCTGCTATGCCATCGTAGGTAAAGAGCACCGGGAAGCAGTCGTGGCCCTGCAGAAGGGTGGGCAGGGGGTGCTATATTGGAGCACCAGTGCACCCTCCCCAAACCGAGACAACAGAAGGAGCCAAAGCCGAAGGGAGTCTGGCAGCCCACACGCAGCTGGGCCACAGAGAGGCAGGCCCTAATCCCACGTGTACCACAACACAGACACAAGGCCAGCGTCTAGGTGAGGAAGTTTGTTGGGACTCCAGGTGCCTTCAGTCCTGCCAGTTGGTTACACCTCCTCCAGGGAGATCCCCGCAGCTGGATACTCCTCTATGCAAAAGCAGGCCTGACCCGCCACTGGTGCCCCCATCATGTGTGCAGACGTGTGAAAAGGAACTTGACAGATAAGTGGGCACAAGGGAGGAGAGTAGTGCCCTTTCCGGACACGTGTATTGGCCAATACAACTTAAGCAGAAATGTTAGAATCCAGTGCAAGACTCACTGTCCCATTTCCCTACTCACAGACAAGCCTCCATCACAGGCTCCCTGGACACCCACACTGGAAACATAATGTGAGCAAGAGAGAAATCCTGTGTTAAGCAACTGCAGTGGGGACTTCTGGCTATTCTGCCCAATCCAGGTACATGGGAAAATGCACGGAAGGAAGGGAAAGGGGGGAGGGGGAAGGAGGAAGAGGAGAAAGATGAGGAGACTAGTGGGGAGTTGTGTGGGCATCTGCTGGGCTCTCCAGGTCTGCTCTGACTGCTACTGCCCCCCTCCCTCTCTCCTTCCCTCCCTCTCTCCTCCTCACCGCCGCCACCAAGCTGTTTTCTGTGATGAAGGTCAGTGCCAGCAGCGGCAGCGTTTCAGAGGCCAGGGTTGCAACACTGAGGGGAGAGAGCTGTCAGCCATACTGTCCCCACTCTGGCTCTGCACTCACCTCCACCCCAGGGGTGGCCTCTACTCACGCCATCTTCTTGTCAGCATCAGCCAGGCACACAGTGCTGTCATGACTGACCCAGGCCACACGGCTCCCGCTGGCTGAGAAGCAGACGCCATGCACCCAGCCACAGCTACTGCTGGATTCAAACATCAGCTCCCCAAAGGGCATCTTGGAGCCCCATGGTGTGGGTGCCGGCCTCTCCTCCACCTCCTTGATGTAGGCTGAGAAGATCCTGTCCCGAGAGACAAAAAAGGGGTAACTGGGGGTTTGGGAGGGGCCTAAGAAAGGGTGAGGCAACCTCTCCAGCAGTCAGAGCTTCAAGCTAGGCGCTAAGTTCCAGACCCAGCTCTGCATGAACTGTACCCAGGCTTGATTAAGTCTGGGCCTCAGTGTCCCCTTTGTGCAATGGGATGTGATCAGGGCTCCTAGCTCAGAAACCTGACCTTCTCACTGATGGAGCCCCCAGGGGCTGTCCTGGGCCCCAGTGTCCTGGTCACTCCACAGCCAGCCCCTAGCTGGGCCCAGAAGTGAAAAACAGTGAATGGCAACTGGAGGCTCTACATACCAGGCCTTAAGATCATGAAGCAGAGTCTGTTCCAGCTTATCAGTCATTCATACCTTAGTATGAATAAATATACCCATTCATTTTTTTTTCAGACAGAAGATAGGAAACTGTAGGCATGGGGGATTCTAATGAGGCAGGAGAGGAAGGCTGAGAAGAACCTTGTCCACAGTAAGGTGGCAATGGGCACATACTGCTAAGACTAACCTGGGGGCTGGAGGCAGGACCTGATGCTGCCCTTTCACAGAGCCAACCCTCACTGAGGCCCCAGGTCACCTGCAGCTCTGGGACTGGTCTGGAAGATGGGGCTTGAGGCTCTCAGGAATGGAGCTCCCTTACTACCCTCCTATCCCTTCTATGTGCTGCTATCGGGCTGACACTCTCCTGGTGGGTCCCCATCTCACCGGCACTTGAAGTCACAGGAGCCTGCAGCCAGGAGCACGTTGTTGGGGTGCCAGTCCAGGCTGAGAACAGTGGAGCGGATGGGCTTTTTGATGTGCTTGCACACCCACCTGCATAGGGCAGGCAAGCAGGTGAGTGACAGGGACAGATAGGTGGGGCCCACAGGCCTTAGCACCCAGAACCTCAGTGCCCTGGGGCTCCCAGCTGCCAGTGCCCTCCCCTGCAGACCACCAAAGTCCCAGGAAGGAAGGGCCTGGCACTCCCAGCCCACAGGCCAGTCAGGGCTCTCACTCTAGGGTAGGAACTATACTTGTCTCCTTTAAACCGAACCACCACCCTTGGGGCAGGCTGAACAAGAGGTCATACAGCTGCTAACTGCTCATGGGATTAGAACTTGGGTCTCTCAGACTCTAGGTGTGCTCCTGCCTGACCTCTGCTCTCAGTGGTACAGGGGAGATTATGATATGGCTGGCAGCTCACGAGTGGTTCCTAGCAATTTCTGACAGGGTGGGTGCCTCAGGCAAGTGACTCTGCTATAAGGTGAAGACAATGACAAATGCCCAGTCCACAAGGCTGCAGGGAAGTCAGTGCCAATGTGTGTGCAGGGCTCAGAAAGGTTTCCCCTGAGGTGGCTCTGGTGTGTCTGTGTCCTTGTTATTACCAAGATGGGACTATGGGAACATCTGGGAACTGTGCAGAGCCCCTCACCTCACAGAAGAGGCCCCGAGAGGATAGATTTCATCACAGTCATGTGAAGAAGAACCAATGTTTTCTAGGGACCCTCTAGTCCTGGCCCTGTTGGTCTGCCATCTCAGGTTCAATCAGCTCCAGTCCCTTCCAGCTCATAACTCTAGCCTCACCAAGCACCCACCAGTCATTCTCCTGCTCAAAATAACAGATGGAGATAACACGGGAGCCACTGCCCACAGCAAATTTGTTCTCGTTGGGGGCCCAGCGCACACAGCGAGCAGCCCGGTTAATCCGCAGGATGACCAGGGTAGGCTTCCATGTGCGGCCCTTCAGTGTCCACACGTAGGCATTGCGATCTGTGCCGCAGGTTACAATGCGGTTACTCTCAGGAGCCCAGTCGATGCCTGAGGGAATGGGAGGACACACACTAGACTAAAGCCACCCAGGCGGAGTTGGCTGTACAGTATCCACAATCTGGGTGGAAGATGTATCTGCCCAGCAAGATCACTTTTTACTGAGATCTGATGTACACTTAGAGTGACACTAGGGAGTGTGACCAGAGTTTATCAGGGGGTGTTACAGCTCCTCCCAAGCTACCACCACAGGTTGGATGGGAAAGCTAAGAGACAGAAAAGAAGTTATGGCTAATACTGAGCTGCTGAATCAAGCCTCTCCTGAAATAACCTCTGAGTTATTTGGTAGCATGAGTCAACATAATCTCTTTAAAACTTAAGCCAGTTGGGTAGTGCCTGTGGCTCAGTGAGTAGGGCGCCAGCCCCATATAATGAGGGTGGCGGGTTCAAACTTGGCCCCGGCCAAACTCCAACAAAAAATAGCCGGGCGTTGTGGCGGGTGCCTGTAGTCCCCCCTACTTGGGAGGCTGAGGTAAGGGAATTGCTTAAGGAGGGTGCTGTGAGCTGTGACACCATGGCACTCTACCAAGTGCAATAGAGTGAGACCCTGTCTCTTAAAAAAAAAAAAAAAAAAAAAAAGTAAGCCAGTTAAAGTCAGGGTTGTTACCTGTAACCCAGTCTGTCTGACCTAACACAATGAGTGGGAGCCTGTTCCCCTGCTTCCTTTCAGAAGGGGGTTCCAGCCAGCCTGACTTACCTGTCACCTGACCATTGTGCTCCTTGAGCTCATGCACCTTGGTCCACTTGGTCCCACTCTTCTCATAGATGTGTACCTCATGGTTGTTTGGGCAGATGGCAATTTCTGCAGGGGAGAGTTTGGAGGTGCCTAAGACACCTTCCCACAACTCCCCTCTACCAGGAATACCCTTCACAGTCCACCTAGGCAAAACCTTGGCCTTCACACCTCAGGCTTTTCTCCTTTGCTCAGAGGGGTCCCCTGAACCCTGTCTGGCCCTGCTGGACTACCCCTCAACCACACTCACTGTACACACAGCTGTCCCCTGACTCTGAGACCTTTCCCCATCCTACTGCTCTGGGCAGCCGCTGTCCTGCTATTGTTCTCTGCTCCCCGAGTGTAGCCAGGGTCTCTTCACTGCTCCTGAGGACCACCTCAGGGCCTCTGCACCCACCCCCGCTGCTTCTACTTTAGGTTACAACTCCAATTTCTGCCCTAACCCCTCTGCAGCTTGTGTCAAGCCCACCCCATTATAGCACCTATAGCAGGAACTGGCTCAGGGCAGTGCTGTGCTCACATGTGACAATCCCACACCTCCATCCTTCTACCTGTGGCAGGCTGCCCCCTTGTGTCCCCTGAGCTGTTCAACCACCCCCTCCTTACAAGAGCCAGGGGCATCTTGCTCAGCACAAGGAACCAGAGTGAGGCCTATGGGCAGCTGCACTACATGATGCAAGGCTGCTTCCTGGGCCCAAAATGTGCTCCCACTGGTCCCCATCCAGGGAGATAGGAGCCACCCCAGCACTCACGGGTGCGGTCCTTGTTCCAGGCATGGCAGCTGATGGGCTCCACCAGGAAGCTGTGGTAGGCCATGGCCACTTGGCTCCTGTGCCGGAGGGGGGGGGGGGAAGAATCTTAAGTGGCCCTGTCTTTGTCCAGACACCAGGCCCCATCAGACCCCTTCAGTCCCCACACTAGGAAGGGCCCTAGGTCTCAGAGGGGCAGCAGTACACAGGAAGGGTCACAGGGTCCATGTGGTCTTGCAAATAGCCTGGCATATTGCTTCCCTGCTGGGGCTTCCACAGAGCCCATAAAATGGCAGATCTCACAAGGTGCCCCTGAAGATCCAGAGAACAAAAGATGGACTAGGCTGCCACTTGGCACATGAAGCAGTGTATACCCTTACAGGCTTACAGGCTTTATGCTATAATTTGGTGTAAAGTCTCTTGATTTTTCCAGTCTATCTCCCTTGCTGGCCACCCTCCCAGGTTGGGGTCCCTGGGAATCCCAACATGGCCTGACTTCAAGATTTGAAACTATAGCACGTCCCTGACCCCTGCACCCCTTTGTTCATTATTCCTGATTTAATTTTCTCCTCGAACAGTCATCATGGGATATATGTAACAGTGAACTCATTTATATGGCCTTTCTTCCCTGCAAGAAAAGAACCAGCAGGCTAGGAGCAATGGTTCATCCCTATAATCCTAATACTCTAGAGGACAGAGGCGTGTGGATTTCTTGAGCTCAGTAGTTCAAGGCCAACCTGAGCAAGAGTAACAGCAAGAGCAAGACCTCATCTCCACTAAAAACAGTAAAATTAGCCAAGTGTCATGGTGGGCACCTATAGTCCCAGCTACTTGGGAGGCTGAGGCAAGAGGATTACTTGAACCCAAGAGTTTGAGGTTGCTATGAACTAGGCTGATATGGCACTAAAGCCCAGGTGACAGACAGAATGAGACTGTCAAAAAAAAAAAAAAGAACAGAACCAGCAGACAGAGACAGACATGTTTTGTCTATCTTGTTCATGTTCCTATTTCCAGTGCCTAAATGCTGGCACATAGCAGGTGGTCAGTAAATATTTGAATTCTTTTTTTTTTTTTTTGGTGGCCATTAGTATTGAACAGACTAAATTTTTAATTTAAAAAAAAAATTTAAGGCTCGGCGCCTGTGGCTCAAGCAGCTAAGGCGCCAGCCACATACACCTAAGG